AAATATTTATAAGCAATCAAATTTTCATGATGCAAATGCTGATTCCCATAAGCAACAGTAAATGCATTACTTATTCACTTGATTCACACTTACCTGCATGACCAGAATAATTATACAAAAATTGAACACTGTCTTCCCACAGTTCTGTGAATTAAACTTAATTACCTTGATATAGTGGAACAGTAGTTCTTCTTCTGCCAGGTTATGTTGTTTCATGTATGGTCTAACTACTTTTGTGATAGATTGTGGTATCAACTCAGGTGCTACCACTCTATCTAACATACGGAAAGTAATAGTACTGGTGGTCTCCTGAACAAATATATAAAGAGATATTTGAGTTATAGAATAAAATTGAAGTGTGAATGAATTGCTTAGAATATACTGAAATAAGAAGAACTCTGATGTCAAAATGGGCGTGCAAGACACAATTTAATTCCCTTTAACTTGGTGCTTGGAAAAAAATAAAAGTGTACCTTTGAAAATTCTGCTAAAGTCAGCTTACACTTGTATTCTTTATGCAGGTTAATTAAATCTTTCAAGTTCTGAATTAATTTCTGTAATAGTGTTATACTGGTATTCTGAGAAGAAAAGAGGCACAATCAGATATCAGATACAATCAGATACCATTATATGTGAAATGTTGGTATGAATGATGATTTTCAGTGCATGTTGATGATCATTTTGGTTTCCCATTTGATTGAATTTCATTTAATATCTTTGTTCTGAAATAGTGATACAGTAGTGTTTCATTTGCTCGATACTTGTATAGACCATTCTAAGAAATATTTGTCCCTTCATCTTCTGAGTCTTCATATCTAGAATTTGACCAAACTCAGAAAATATCGCATACAAAGATTTCTTTAATTTTGAAAAACAAAACATTTTGAATAATGTGTCTTCTTACCTGTTTTGTGTTATTCATGCAAGTCACAGAGTGGTTACATATCTGATCAAAAGAAAATAACATGTATCAGAGCAGTGTAAACCATTGGTACCTTAATAACTATATGGTTGGTTATGTACACATATTGGCATAAAATACATGACAAGTTTCTGATCTAATCAAAGATGCCTGATTCAATCATAATCTGTGACACTATATTATTCTGAAAACTGTACAATAAATTTCTTTTTAATCAGACTTGATCCCTGTGATCATTTGAAATGGAATGCATAAAGCAAACTGTAAATGTGTATTCACATGAATAGACAGGTGTGAACAGATGCACAGAGGTCAATTTGCAAGTACCAATGTTCTAACTTCATCCAAAGAGAGACTAATACTTACCAATGTTGAAAACTCTGACGGTGTGGTAATCTTTCTGCCTTGTTCTGAATGTTCTATAGATCTACCAGATTTGAATAAAAGTTGTGCCATTTCCAGTGCATTGTTTGGCCAGTCATCCTGTACAGTAAACCAAATAAATGTAAAGACTTTAGCAGTAGAAGTATTATAATTCCATACTAGTATTACATTATTTTTGGTCAAAAAGTTACAAAGTATGAAGAATATAGTTGAACATTACTTTTACCTTTTCGGAAAGTTCCATATCTCTGGCTTTCTTGATAAGCCACAAAGCCAACAAATTCTATGAATAGGAAATATAATACAAACAGTAACATGCACATATAATAAAGGAATAACCCAGATATTATATGGACACTATAATGGGATCAAGGGAGAACCCATATAACAAATGGACACTATCATTGGATCAAGGAAGAACCCAGATAACAAATGGACACAATCATGGGATCAAGGGAGAACCCAGATAGTATAAAAACCTGGGATGAAAGGAAGACCCAGATATCATATGGACACTATTTTGGCATGCAGGGAGAATCCAGATAACAAATGGACGCTATCATTGGATCAAGGAAGAACCCAGATAACAAATAGACACTATAATGGGATCAAGGGAGAACCCAGATAACAAATGGACATTATCATGGGATCAAGGGAGAACCCAGATAACAAATGGACACTATCATGGATCAAGGGAGAACCCAGATAACAAATGGACACTAACACTGGATCAAGAGAGAACCCAGATAACAAATGGACATTATCATGGGATCAAAGGAGAATCCAGATTACAAATGGACACTATAATGGGATCAAGATATTGTATAATCTGAGATAAAAGGAAGACCCAGATTATCATATGGACACTATTTTGGGATGCAGGGAGAACCCATATAACAAATGGACACTATCATTGGATCAAGGAAGAACCCAGATAACAAAAGGACACTATAATGGGATCAAGGGAGAACCCAGATAACAAATGGACACTATCATGGATCAAGGGAGAACCCAGATTACAAATGGACATTATCATGGGATCAAGGAAGAACCCAGATAACAAATGGACACTAACACTGGATCAAGAGAGAACCCAGATAGTATAAAAACCTGGGATGAAAGGAAGACCCAGATATCATATGAACACTATTTTGGCATGCAGGGAGAATCCAGATAACAAATGGACGCTATCATTGGATCAAGGAAGAACCCAGATAACAAATAGACACTATAATGGGATCAAGGAAAAACCCAGATAACAAATGGACACTATAATGGGATCAAGGGAGAACCCAGATAACAAATGGACACTATAATGGGATCAAGGGAGAACCCAGATAACAAATGGACATTATCATGGAATCAAGGGAGAACCCAGATAACAAATGGACACTATCATGGATCAAGGGAGAACCCATATTACAAATGGACATTATCATGGGATCAAGAAAAAACCCAGATAACAAATGGACACTATCATGGGATCAAGGGAGAACCCAGATTACAAATGGACATTATCATGGGATCAAGGGAGAACCCAGATTACAAATAGATGCTATAATGGGATCAAGGAAGAACCCAGATAACAAATGGACACAATCATGGGATCAAGGGAGAACCCAGATATAGTATAAAAACCTGGGATGAAAGGAAGACCTAGATATCATATGGACACTATTTTGGCATGCAGGGAGAATCCAGGTAACAAATGGACGCTATCATTGGATCAAGGAAGAACCCAGATAACAAATGGACACTATAATGGGATCAAGGGAGAACCCAGATAACAAATGGACATTATCATGGGATCAAGGGAGAACCCAGATAACAAATGGACACTATCATGGATCAAGGGAGAACCCAGATTACAAATGGACATTATCATGGGATCAAGAAAGAACCCAGATAACAAATGGACACTATAATCAGATCAAGGAAGAACCCAGATAACAAATGGACATTATCATGGGATCAAGGGAGAACCCAGATAACAAATGGACACTATCCTGCAATAAAGGGAGAACCCAGATATCATACAAACACTATCGTTGTATCAAGTATGAACCCAAATAAATGAATACAGTCCTGGAATGAAGGAAAACCCCAGAAATCTTATGAATATTATCTTTAGATCAATTGGATCAAGGGAGAAACCAGATTACAAATAGATACTATTCTGCGATAAAGGAAGAACCCAGATATCACACAAACACTATCGTTGGATCAAGTATAAACCTAAATAAATGAATACAATTCTGGAATGAAGGGAAACCCCAGAAATCTTATGAATATTATCTTTAGATCAATAACAAACAAATGGACACTATCCTGAGATAAAGGGAAAATCAATTATGTATCATACAAACACTATCCTTGGATCAAGGAAACAAAAGAACAAAGAGACAAATAAAAAATGGACACTATTCAGTGATTAAAGGGAAAACACATATCATATGGATACTGACGTCAGATGAGAAAAGAAAACCCAGATAACAAATGAACACTAACCTGGGCCGAAGGAAGAACCTCAATTACAAACGGAATTATTTCATTATCAAGCCACGGAATAATATCTTCAGATTTGATATTTTCAGGAATAGAAGATAAGATATTCTCCAAGACTTTCTCTGTAAAATTGTCTTCAAATTCACACTGTGATGGAAAGATAATTGATTATGAGTAGTAAAGTAGTACAAAACAGTTCCAGGTA